TCTCTCTCTCTCTCTCTCTCTACCCCTTGCGCATCAGTCGCCTTGCGTTGCTTGCCCTGCGCACGGTGTCGAACTACGCCTAACCGTCATCCGCCAACTGCCACCGCCTGCGCCGCATCGCACCGTTCCCGCCCCCCCGTGACCTAACCCGTCGGCCCCTTCTCGCCTGCCTCCTATCATTTCGGCCCACCCTGCCCGAGTCATGCCGTTTCGTTGGCTTCCCCGCCCCGCCCCCCTCGCACTGTGTCGTTACCGTCGTGCGTCGTGCTGCTCGGTCACTCCCCGCTGGGCCACTGTGGGCCCGTTCTGCCCTTTCCCAACACTGTGGTCGAGGACTCACATGGAACGATCTATCGAGATCCTCTATTTCCTTTAGAGTATTAGAGATAACCCTCTGGTTTACGGGGACCCCCACTTTTCGGCCCTAGGTAACGATGAATGATCCTGAAATTAGGGTTTCGGGGTCAAATTTTGTATTTTTTTAACTTTTTTTTTTTGGAATTTTTTTTCTTGCCTGTTTTTGTTTTAGGACAAGCTTGCTGTGTGTCAAATTTGGTGTCATTTGGGTTATTAGAATTTGTGTTCTTAATCATCCTGAAAATCCTAAAATTTTGATGACGTTGTTTTTTAGCAAAATTGCCTGAAAATGCACTTTTGAGTTGCTGTTTTATGTGTTTTTTATTTTTTTTTTTGGTATTGTTTTTATAATATGTTAGTAAGAAGTGCACTTTATAGGTTGGTGTGAAGTTTGCTTGGGATGGCCTTATAGTTTTCTTATAAATTGAGGTGAAAAATGGGGGTCGGTTAACCTTTTCTCCTCTGTCTATGCCCGTCTGTCTGAATGATTTTCTCTCCTGTGATCTTCTTTTTTGTCTAAGTTACCCTTGACGTCAGGCGGCAAGAAACCATTTTTGCCTGCCGTGGTAGACGTCTTTCCCTTTCCTAAGAGGCATCTGAGGCAGGGGTTCGTTGCCTTAGGGGCCGGCCCTGCTATGGACTTGGAGTGGACCGCTTATGTGGGGGGATACCATGCTGTTGTGGTGGAGCCAGCCTGTCTTCTGAGATCCGAGATTTACTCTGGCGAGGATGAGGGGTATCCCAGACCACCTCCTAGGAAAAGGACATGCGCCTACTCGTGGAAGAGCCGTAAGTTCTTAACGCCTCACGTTAAGGGGAACTGTCATAGCATACCCCTTAGTGGCTGTCTTAGGGGCCACTCGTGCATGGAGAATTGAGCCGCAAAAAGCTCGGTTCATGGTACTAGATGAAACAGAGCGCGACTAGGCACTCTTGTCGTGGTTGGCCTCATCACAAGAAGCGAGGATCATTAGGATTGATATGGCAAGCAAGGGTTGGATAGCTAGAGCCGAGAACAACCCTTTTCAGTAAGGTCAACGAGGGTCAGGAGGACAAAGCCACCAACAAAATTTGAAAGTGGATCCTTGACCTTAATGGGGCATCGAGTGTTCGATTGTTGAAGTTGGTCGCTGACTCGTATAAGTGGTAGGCAAATTACTTGCAGATGACATTCACACCAATTTAGAAGCATAGTGAAGTCATCACTAAAGCAATGTCATCCTAGCTCTACTTGAGAGTTGGGATATCACCATATCTCTGCTAGCATTTAGAGTGGGATGGAATGAAAGAACTTGACAACGCATCTCATCAAGTCGAAAAATTTGTGACGGTCCACCCGTTTGGCAGACAGAGTGCAGATACTTTAGTCAGACGTCATTTGAGCGTCGCCTTGTGTATTGGTCATGCTTTGATCTTTTATCAATAAGTGTTATTTGAAGTCAAGTCAACCTTTGTCATATGTATGACTGTATTATATATAAGTTGAGATCAGAAGATAAGTCAACTTACGTTGGCCTGAGTCTTCTTTTGAAAAGTGTTTTGACTGATTAACTCTTGTTCTACGTTGCATAGAGTACACGTACGGGGGCTTCCCGTACAAAACGTACAGGTTATTTTTGTGCGGGATCTGTACGGGAACCTGTACGGGAACCTGTACGTCTTGTACGCCCCCGTATGAAAAAGCAAAAAAAA